CTCTTAAAGGCTCGCATAAAGTTTCTCATATAGATTTATGCTTTCTCAAGGGGCATAAAATCTAAAATCGTTTGTCACGTTTTGCACATAAAAGGATTTTCAATTTTCCAATGTGACAAGCGCGCATTTGCATACTGAAGTTGAAATGTGTCGAGTCGAAGTCACGCTGGCACGAGGGCAGCCGATGGTCCAGGAGGGGCGCACAGCCAAATGCGAGGCAAATCAAATCAAATTTTATGTAATGCCATGGCCAAAAAAGAAGAAAAAAGAAGCCAGAAAGAAGGCAGAATTTTGAGATTTTGCGCTTTTTATTATCAATAAAATAAATTAAATCAAATTCTGCAATTTAATTGCCGTCGTAAAAACAAAGAAAAGTCTGAGAGAGAGAAGGAGGAAAAGTGCTGAGGATTTGAATTTGTCTTGTGGCTGCGCGGACACATTATGCGAATGTGCCACAAAATGTGGCAAGCCAAATGCGAATGACATACGGAGGGAAAATCGTGTGGAGATTCGATATTAGATAGCTTTATTTTTTTTGCTTTTAATATTTTATTTTATATTATTTTTATTTTTTTGCTACATTAGCCAAATGCAGTGCGTGCATAAAATCGTATTCAAGTTGTCGCGACTCACAGAGCTCACAATCTCATGCCCTTGCTGAGAGTTCGATGAATGTGGCAAACATATAGGTAGAGATGTAAATAGATGAAAAAATAATGAAACATTTAAAATAAAATGCTTTTTGCTCTAAATGAATCGCTTATTTTATCAATAAAATTTATTTAAATACTCTATATGTATATTCATATTTCTATGTGTTGAATGGAGTGGATTTGATCCGTTAGAGTATTCATAGCTCGTCTGAAGTTGTTTGCTTCTTGCCTCAACGCTCAAAGCATGCGTTTTTATGGTCATGTTGTTCCCGATGATTTTTGGAAGTAAAATATCTGCATCTGCATAAGTGGTCTAACGAGCAAATAGGTTTTATATATGTATGTGTGTGTGTGTGTGTGTGTGTGTGTGTGTGTGTTTGTTGTGTACTCCTTAACGAGATTTATTTGTAGTCAGCAGTTGGTGCCTATGTTTTTATGGCACAACAGCCACAGACAAATTCATCAACCTAACGACAAGGACGACCGTCTCTGGGAGCTATTATTGCCACCCAAAAATACATTTCATACGCGCCAAAGTTGACAAAAAATAAAAACAAAAAAATAAAGTAGAAATCGTTGAAAAACCAAGGGGAAAAAAATTAAATTGCATTTGTATGTTTCGCTCGCATGTAAGCAGAGACATCTTCTGCTCCTGCCTTTTTCTTGCTATCAGATGCATCTATTATGTGTGTGCATCTGCAAGTTTCTCTCTTTCTCTCTCTCTCTCTCTCTCTGTGTGTGTGTGAGTGCATGCATTAGTTAAGCTTTACATTTGCACATTAAAAGGCGAATTGTGTTTGAGCGTTTTGTGCATTTCTTGC